GATCAAATGAGCTAGGTGTCCAAATATGTTGATGATTGGGGGTGAAAACTAACCTACCATGTGGTATAGCGCTCCAAGCAAGATCTCATGATTTTATCATTTCGGGTTTGTCGTTGCACTTAACCTACTTAGTCGAGTGTCAATCATAGAATCTTTATTAGCAACCATGGGTTACCTCATCCAAGGGACCCCATAGACTAAGGGATTTGGGGACTTATTCCTGAAGAGTAACAACTAATAGAAACCTAGTGTCTAAGGCTTCTATCTATACCCGACATCTCCCATCGGGATCATAGGTGAAGTGGGTTATGTGTTCTAAATAGTTCTAACCTACAAATAAATGTGAGATTATCCTTTGTCGTTATACTCATTTCATTAAAATGAGCTGAAGTGACAGTACATTTCCTATCTCCATTTGTTTTAGGATTCAATAGGGAGATTTCTAACCAATATTTATGTAGAGAAATCAAGCCATGCTAGAGAAAAGAAAACTAAAATATTCTGGGTGTTTATTCTTTATAACAATAATGAAGACCTTATATTAAACCAATAGAGATAAATAATAATTTAATTCTTATGCCACATAAGTTAGATAATAATTTAATTCTTAAATAGATCATGTTTTTAATTGGCTCAATTTAAGATAGATTTTAATATATAATACTTTATTTATATGTATATATTTATATGGGCCAACGTAAAGAAATTTCCAATCAATCTTCCACTTGGGCCACATATATATGTACATATAATTATACATTATTAAATATCGTAAGGGCTTAATATTTAATATCTTTATAAAATAATATCTCTAGATATTTTGGTTTATCATTTATATCAATATATAATCAAAATGACATTTGTTACATTCTTCGTAATAAGACCCATCAATGATCATTATATTAATATAATTTATGACATATATCAAGTATGGATGTATAGCATAAAAATATTATGTAATGTGATCTCAAAGTATGACTATTTTCAACTAGTTCAATTTTATAACTCAAAAGAGTTATAACAAAAAAAATCAATACTTTATGTTAAATTATAAATGAAATTAAGTAAAATTATTTTAGAGTTTTCAATAATCAAAATAACAAGTTAGTTTTATCAAAAAATAAGTTCATAATTGGACAATACAAACAAACTCTCATTATGCTAGTATATCATCAAAACAAATTGTACTCATACGAGCCACATGCTCATGAAATATTTTAAGTGATAATCCTTTTGTAGTGGATCTGCAATCATTTATACTAATATATTCAATAGAAATTTGAAAACTTTGAACTATTTCCTTTATAACGAGAAACTTAATGTCTATGTTCATTGATTTTGACAATTTTTATTATTCTTAGAATATAATTCAACTGTTTTATTATCATAATTTATCTTTTATGACTTCTTAGTGTCATCAACAATATGTAACCGTGTGATAAAATTTTGCAATTATATTTCATAATTTGATACTTCATAATAAACTATAAATCATGCTTTCATTATAGAAGAACTATAAGTGATTGCTCACTTCTTCATGATATAACTCCTCTAACTAACATAAAAAATATAGTCTGAAGTGGATCTCAAACTATCAAGGCAACCAGCAAAATTAGAGTCAGAATACCCCACGATCTCTAAATGATTCGATCTCTCATATGTGATTATGAAATCTCTTATCCTTTTTAGATACCTCATAACCCGTTTCATTGTTTTCTAATAATTTATTCCTCGATTACTTAAATATTTATCAACATTCTAACAACGTACGCAATACCCTGATTGCATTTAAACTTGAGCATATATAAGACTCCTTAGTGTTGATGCATAAGGAATCTTATTCATATTTTATTTTCAACTTCATTTCTTGGGCATTAAAGCATATTAAAAGTTTCCCCTTTTGCAATGGGTGTATCTCTGGTGCATAATTTTTTATACCAAATCTGCTAAGCACTTTATCAATATAGGTTGTTTGTGATAAACTAAGTATATCATGGGGTTATTCCGATAAATTTGTATACCAAACACAAAGGATACATTTATAAGATCTTTTATTTCAAATTTATTTAAAAGAAATATCTTAGTCTCATATAATAAGTATATATTATTGCTTATTAGTCGAATATCATCAACATATAACATTAGAAGAATAAACATACTCTTACTAATCTTATGTTAAATGTATTGATCAATAATATATTTTTTTTAAACCAAAAGAAGAAATCACTTGATCAAATTTCTTATACCATTGATGTGATGCTTGCTTTAAATCATAGAAGAATTTCTTTTATATGTAAACTAGATGTTGTGAACTAGAAAAAAAAATTCAGATCGCATCAAATATATAGTTTCATCAATATCTCCATTAAGAAATACAACATTTATATACATCTAATGTAGATCTAAATCATAATGAGCTACTGGTGTCATGATGATTTTAAAGAGTCTTTCGAAAAAAATAGAGAGAAAGTCTCTTTATAATTAATCAACATCTTTCTTTTGAGTGAAACTTTTAGCATTTGGACGTGCTTTATATCTTTCTATATTATCTTTTGCATCCCTTTTGATTTTAAAAAATATATTTACAAACAATAGGTTTTGCTCCTTTAGCAATTCAAAAAGATCTTAAATATCATTATCTTTCATTGATTTCATCTCATCTTTCATGGCCTCTATCCATTTTTGGAAATTAGAATATTGTTTGACTTGATTTAATGACTTTGGGTCATCTTTCAATCACATATCAAACTCATGTTCTTGAAGATATACGATAAAATCATCTAAAATCATTTTTATTTTTTTCCTTGTGGATATTCTTAATGACACTTCAATTTGAGGTTGTTGTCTTTCTATGTAAGTAGGATATAACACTAATTAAAATTATATGAAGATATCCTTGCAAAAATTTTCCCATAGTAACACTAATCCCCTTTTAATTACTTGATTCGCCCATATTTATTTCATGACTAAGAAATAAACTTATTCACCTATATATCAACTTATCACAAATATTTTGTGAGCTATTAGTATGATCATTTTTTTTTTCTTTTCTACTTGAGTAGTTAGTTTTATATTTTATAAAACTAAAATTATGATAATAAATTTTATTATTATTATTATTATGCTTAATTCTCATTGAATGTTGAAGTGGTTTCCAAACACAACAGAAAAAACATACATTCCTAAATAAAATTATATAATTTTTTATGTATATGATAGATTATATGATAAATTGAAAAATATTTTTATAAATAAAAATAATTGACAACATCATAAATTTAGTTGGCTCCGTTATAAAAATATATATTTTTTAAATATATCATTATTCAACAAAAAAATTAACTAACTTTGAAAACTTAATAAAGCAAAATGTCCTTCTTGTCATTTAATTGTAGCCCAAACAGTGTCATTATAGACCACTTAGTACTCTTTAGTGCCATTCTTACAAAGATTGTTTGATAGTTTAAAAATAAAATTTAAACTGACTAATAAATTTAATATAATTATTTTAGTTTATTTTAAAAATAGGAATACACATAAATATAGGTTCATAAAATATTAAATAAAAAAACATATAATATTAATATAGTAATTTATATAATTAAAGAGTGTTCGATGACTTAGCTACTTAATTCCACTCGAATTTATTTTAATTATACTCTAATAAATAAAATAATGCACTAATAAAATTCTTCTAAAAAATATTACCCTCTTCATCATACCATATAAAAATATCTCATATAGTTTATGATATTATTCTCAATAATTTTATTCATATCAATAATAACTAAAAATTAAATGCCCTCCTACATGACAAAACCTTAAAAAATGGAGCATGCAATGTATTCAACTATTCCCACAAGCCTTTAGCTAAGGCTTAAAAAAGATTCTAAATAATTTTTTAAAAGAGAATATAGAATCAATCATTGAGTTTATATATTGAATTGGATAGGATTGATTTAATAAAAGAAGGTTGGTGCTTTTGTAGTACTATAAGGGCTGGCTATTGCTGCACTAAATTATTAAGAGGCCCTTTGAGCATTTTGTGTTAAGAAATGCTAAAATTATTCAATTTCATTTGCTATGGATGGGACCCACCTGCAAGCTTATCGTCATCCAGTCATTAGATTTAAGTAGAGGTGCAAACGAGTCAAGCATCTAAGATATGTGAGTTTGTTCGAGCTCAACTCGAACTCTATAATGAGCTCATGAGCCGAACTTATCTAATTTTGAGCTCGAGCTTGAGCAGATTTATGAGCTTGTTAGATAATCGAGTTCGAGCAGCTTAAGTGCGGAAGGCTGAACTATGAACGTAGAAGGAGCTTGAAACTTTTAATGTTATTTTTATATTATTAAAATTACATATTTAATACTAATACTATATTAAAACATTCTCTTTTATGTTTTATAGCTTTATTGTAATGCTTCATTTTTTATATTTATAAATTTTTTATTTATTTATGATAAAAATTTTGATTAGAATAAATCTTATTTGCTTAAAGATAAGCATAATATATAGATAATTAATATTACATTAATCTCAAAGTGAATATGAAAACTTTGGGACAAATATTAATCATTTTTATAAGGATATCTCTAAACAATTTTTTTATAACTTATATTATGGTAATAACTCTCTTTTAATTTTGTATAAATTATTTTCTTGAATTATTTTATCTTTTAAATTATTGTAAGTTTTTATTAAATTTTTAATAAGCATTCAAATAAATTATTTAATTCGTTATATAACTGAAAATGATAATATTTTATTTTGTATATACAATAAAATTATAATATTTCAAATATTTTTTTTTTCTTTTAGTATGAATATATTAATTTTTTTAGGCTTAGGATAAGAATAGTATTTTATTTTGTATATATAATATTAACAAATTTAAAAAATCAAAATACCAAAAAAATCTTAATCACTTGACATGCTTAGCTATAAAAAATATATAACAGAATAAAAAATCATAAATTGCATTAAATGAGTTGGAAAGCAAAATAATAAGACTAGTGACGGCAGCGGAGGCCCCGGGCTCGGCCATCGCGCTTCCTTTTCTCGTATAAGAAAGAGACAGCAGGCCCCCGCCGTGGCCTCTTAACGGCCTCTTTCTCGCCAAGCCATTGCCTGACTCCCACATTGTGATGCGCATATCCCTCCCATGGCGAAATGTGAAGTTCTCAACGGAGCACGGTGGTCGGTGTTCTCAGCTGCAGGTTTTCGCCGCCGGCTCCTGGAAGCAATGCTCTGCGGCGTCTCGAATGACCCCCGGAGACAGATTGTTGAACGCAGGTCAGATCGGCTTGCTGATTTACTTCTGGTAGAAGCGCGTGATTTACGGAGCAGAGAAGTCGCTGAGAAGAGACGAAAGATGGAAGCGTTCGAGGAGTTACAGAGCGTAGTGCGAAGGCTTCAGGACACAGAGGAAGGCATCCATCGCCGGAGAGCGGAAGCCGCGGCGGAGGTGAGGAGGCTTGCCAAGGACAGCCCGGATTTCCGGCAGTCTCTCGCGTTGCTCGGCGCCATTCCTCCCCTTGTCGCCTTGCTCGACTCCGACGATTCCGATTCGCTCATTTCCGCTCTCTACGCGCTCCTCAATCTCGGAATCGGCAATGAAGCGTTGGCTTTTTAACTTTATAATTAAAAAGCTCCTGCCTTTTTGCTCTTTAAACAATAATGGTTTGATACTTTTTTTCTCAGGAACAAATCGGCCATCGTGGCTGCGGGAGCTATTCAAAAGATGGTATCTTTGATCAAATCTGGGCCGACGCCGGCAGCGGAGGCGGCAATCATCGCCAATTTCCTCGGCCTCAGCGCATTGGATGCGAATAAGGCCATTATCGGCGCTTCCTCTGATGTGATCCCCTTTCTGTTGAATGCTTTCCGAAGCTCTAACTCTATCTCCTCCACCCAATCACAAGAAGACGCTTTGCGCGCGCTATATAACCTCTCCATTTCTCCGGCAAACGGCGTCGCTCTGGTCAACGCCGGCATCGTCCCTTGCATACTTTCCGCCCTTGTAGACGACACGGAGTTCAGCGAGTGGTCGCTTGCCGTCCTTTGCAACCTCGTCGCTGCCTCACCCGAGGGCCGGCGGGCAGTGAGCCGCACCGCCGACGCATTCCCCATGCTCATCGACGTGCTTCACTGGAGCGACTTTCCCAGGTGTCAGGAGAAGGCGGCCCACATTCTGATGGTTATGGCGCACAAATCGCACGGCGTAGAGCGAGCGGCTATGGCGGCGGCCGGAATTACGTCGGCGTTGCTTGAGCTGACGCTCATGGGAAGCACACTGGCTCAGAAGCGCGCGTCACTGATTCTTAAGATTTTAAGGGAGGAGAAAGGAAAGCAAGTGGTGGTTTCTGAGCCTCTTGGCAGCTGTGGCGCCTCGGCTAGTTCTGCAGCGACGGAGGAAGAAGAAGAAGAAGAGGGTGTGAGTGCGGAGATGAGGGCTGTGAGGAAATTGGTGAAGCAGAGCTTGCAGAGCAATATGCGGCGGATTGCACGTCGGGCCAATTTCCCTCCGGAGTTTTCGCCGTCGGATCGATTCCGGGAGCTCACAGCTTCCTCAACTTCCAAAAGCTTGACTTTGTGGTAGCGGTAAAAATCCAATTTTTAAGCTTCTGAAGTTTGGTTCAATTGCTAACATGCAGAGTAGGTATTAAATCTCTATAACTATAAGTTTTGATAATGAAATAACATAGATGAAATAATATTGAACTTTGAAGGAAGAGAATGTCATAAAAATGACAATTGACATTCATGATTTAGTTGAAGAAAGAAAAAAATTAATAAAAATGAATTATTTCTTAAAATTCCAAGAGAGAGAAATAAATGAATACTAAATTTCTATCTAAATTATAATTTAATTGCTAAACACTAACTAAATAGGCTAATTAACACATTAATTTGTATTTCACCAATTTAACCAATTTTACTAACTAAATAGGCTAATTAACACATTAATTAATATTTCACCAAATTAACCAATTTAAACTTAAAAAATCTATATTTAGGCAGATTGCATCTTAATTTGGCTATTGTTAACTTAATTTTATAGCAAATTATTTATTATAATTAACTAATTACTTAATTATGTATCTAATTATTGTATTTTATGATTAATTTTTTTAAATGGATGAAAAATTATGACCAAATCAGAATAAATTATGATTTTTTTTGGACTTTTAAGGGTATTATATATATACATGTGAACTGCATATATATTAAATATTAAAAAATATTAGCTTTGAATATTCTAATTAAATTTTTTATAATATTAAGTTTTAAAGTCATTAAAATTTTTGAGATAAATGTATTAGAAATATAATATTTTTTATTTATTACACTAATTTTAAAATAAATCTAATTTTTTTATAAATCCTTCATAAACAAAATTTAATCAGTGATCCACAATTTTTACATTTATTTCTCATTTAGTTACTATTATTTATTTATTTATGTTTTTTGGTTATGCAGCAAAATGCTTGATGGTTAGGTGGCAGCAGAAGACAGCTGGTGGGCAGGCTTGTAATTATTTAATTAATTTTGAAATTTTATCTGCAAAATTTAAAATTATATGGTGAGTTGAATGGATTTAGATCCTCTTTTGTGTTACTATGGGGGATGTTCTTCAAATAGTTAGCTAATTTTTTCATTGCAGTCCTCAAAATTATTCTGAATTCATTTAAATTGAAATAAATTTGGGAAAATATGTAAATTCAATTTCAGTCATTTATCTAAATAAATTGCATGGCCTAAAATTATATAATTGCACTTTTGAATGTTTGAACACTTAGCGGGCGATAATGCAATTTTGCTTATTGTTTAAAAATATATAAATATTTAAGGCCTTTAATATTCTGATATATATTATTAATATAGGTATTTGAAGTTGATTTGTGTTGATTTTTAAATAAATAATTAATTTTAGATTATAATAAAAATAATTGAAATTTATTTAAATATATTAAGATTTTGTTCAAAACAATTTTTCTTCTGATTTGATTTTCAGAGTATATTCATAATTTCTATTTGTAAACTATTTTTTTCGTTATTTTCATGAAATTTTTGTGTTAGAAAAGTACTTTCTACAGAAGTTTTTTAAAAAAATTATTTTTTCTATAATAATTTTATAGCCATATTTATAAAAAGTTACAAATGTTGTAAATAAATTCTACTTCTAAATAAAAATTTAAATTTTTTAAATTTATTTTAATATATATCATATATATCTCATAATAAATTCAATAATTGCGTATGCCATATATAATTTAAATTAAAAATTCTCAATTAAATTGAATTGAACTCAAAATATAATTATATTATTTAATTTGAAAATATGCACAAAGCAAAAAAAAATAATAATTCAGCTGGAAAATCTTAGGGCAGATATGAAGAATAGTTATGCTTTTGTTTTATTTCTGTCTTAATTATTCTGAATTAATTATTATAGTTATTCATTGCCAGCCAATAGTGCTCTAACATATTGCAAACTAACAATATGGTTGCTTATTGCCCTTCAGAACTTTAGGTCTAATTATACTATGCAAAAAAATATATAAAAATGAAATAGTTATATCTACACCAATATAATTTTTAATTCTAATAAATTAATTTTCTACTATTATTTTTCTACAAATGATGTTTTTTTTAATATTATTAAATATTATATGTTAAAATCTCTCTCAATCACACATAATATATTATGTGTGTCACTTCTCGTAAATCCCGCCTAATTATAATTGAGTCGTAGCGAGACTATCAAATTTACAAAACTATAAATTATAATACTATTTAAAGTTGAATATGAAACAAAGTTGAGACTAATGTTTTGTTTAGGATGGCTTTCTTACTACTTCTTAAAATAGTTTTTTAGTATAAAAATTAACTGCTACAGGAAGCAGTAAGAAAGCCATCCCAAACGAAACCTAATGCAATACACTTATGCTTCGTTTCAGATGACTTTTTTATTGTTTTCTAAAACAGTTTTTTAGTGCAAAATTTTTTAGTTTAAAAAATATTAATACGAAAAAAATATTTTAGAAAACAATTAGAAAGTTGTTCCAAACAAAGCCTTAGATTCCTTAACAAGATATCAACTATGATGTTGACTTTTAAAGTTGAATTTTGAAGCATAAACTTAATTTAAGGTTTCGTTTGGGACAACTTTAGACAGCTATTTTTTAATGATTTCAAGAAAAATTTTAACTAAAATGTAGCTTTATAAAGCAGTAAAAAAGTCGTCACAAACAAAGCCTAAGATTCTGTTTAAGATGGCTCTAATTTTTTGTAAAGGTGAGTGTAAAAATGTTATGACGAAAATAACTTTTTTTGAAAGGTGTTCTAAAAGTAAATTTGTAGAACATAAATGTATTAAAAACAAAATAAAAATAAAAATTATCATTGAGATCTAAAATTCAAAATAATAAAAAAATTTATCTAAAATAAATCCTAAAGTAATAATAATTTAATAATTATTTTTTAAAATTTTTGAACAATTAAAAAGTTGGCATTCACTATTGATGATAACTTGATTTGAACCTTTTGTTGTAGTGATATGACATTTCAAAATTACATGAAATATATATTTTTTTTTATTGATTATTGTAACAAGACAAAGAGTTGGTTAGTCCTTAGCCAATCATGTGATGGAAAGATGAAGAAGCTGCTGAGTGCTTGTTCATCCATCATGTCAATTTTGGCTTTAGGATCTCCAAATGCCCTTCACTTATTGGAAAATTAAAATAAAAATTTCCTTCCATTGTGAAGAACAAAATGAATCATATATAAAAATAAGAAAATATAATTAATTTATTATTTAGATGCATTCTTCTTAATACAAAATTAATGATATTTTCCTTTTTTTCACCTTTTATTTTAATAATTGATAATTAAATATTATTTGAGCATTAAAATTTATGAAGAGGAATTACTAATATTTATGATTGATAGATCTATTGAAGATCGTTCAATTAGATTTGTATGTGATATGATAATGTTTGTTATATGGATCGTATGATTCATTCAAATATTGTGTAGCATAATGAGATACTATTTGGAGGAAGAGAATGAGCATAGGGCGGCATTTGACAAAGGAGGCGAAACAGTTGAGTATAAGCAAGATGAAGTGCACAATAACTTATCCCACGATTGCTCTATTAGCGCCAAATCGCTCCGTTAATTGGCGCAAAATTAGAATATGACATAATAGATATCTCTTAAGGCACTTAAATAAAAGTGTCTTAATATATATGTTGTTAAAAATTAATTTTTTTTTTTTGTAGTGTTGGTTCATGAAATAACAATAATTTTAAGCAACAAAATGCAACGAAAAATAGAGAATAAAAACATCAAAATTCAACCAAAAAAAGTTTCATAAATATACTCATTAGAATTTCACAAGAGCTATGAAAAAATATATATTTTCTAAGAAATAGCCGTATAGAATGATTTCATGAGCAAAAAGAATATGAACTTACTTCATGATTTGGATGATCTTCCAAAGGAACTTATATTTGCTTTGATTTCACTTGATTTAGTATCACATCATATTTGAGCTATGGCTTATAACTATATAAAAATTTTTACTTATAAATCTCTTAGTAGCTATGTCAACGATGCTATCTAAGTTTAAGCCCTAATTTCATCACTGGATTTGAACCTTTTTTCCTCCCATAGAAGTCATTAAAGCGGAGAAATTATTAGTTACAGATAATGCCGATAGCTCTATGTGTGGAAGGTCATAATACTCATATATATACTCGTCATATATCTAATACACAAAACTACTCGACTATGTACTAAAAAAAGCTTGCACTGCGTAAGCTACTTATGTAATATATGTGACTAATACTTTATCAAGCAAATGAGGGGTATTTTCCTTGATTTGGAGATTGAAAGTGAAAAGGAGAATAAGTTGAGGGAGTGGGACTCTGAGAAGCTCAAATTGTACAAGAGAAAAGGAGAGAGAAGAATGATAGAACTAATAAATAAATAAATAAAAATTGTATTCAATTATAGCAAGTCCATCCGTGCATCCATATAGGAGGGGTCCTTAACATAATTTTTTTTTTAAAGATACTTTCTAAAAAAACGTTATAATTTGGGACAGCTTTCTTGCTGCTTTCTAAATAATCTTTATATTACACAAAATTTTAATTAAAAAAATTTGTACTAAAAATTATTTTAGAAAATAAGAAAAAAATAATCTCAAACGAAGCCTTAATTTTATAATTTCATTGTCCTTAGTGCAGAGGTGAGGTTGGCCATCAGAATATTCCTTTGCCACTTATTACTAGCAAGTGAGCATTTGTATGAATAATTAATTGATTTCCACATGTTCAGCCCTTCCTATAATGGATACAATACATTTCAATTTCTTTAATGCATCTTCTTTGCGTCCATAATGATGAAATTTATTCTATTTTATATTATGCCATTTTGTATTTATCTTAATGTGGCACTAACACTCAATAAATTAAATTATCTTATTATTTTTAATTATTTTTAGGGGTATAGTTTGAATCTTACGACTTGTTTGAGATAACTGCAGCATTTTATCAATATGATTTTGAAACTATTGTGAGAAAAATAACTTTTTCTAATGCTGATGTGTATATTATAATTTTTGCATTAAAAAATTGTTTTAAGAAGAAATAAGAAAGCCGTCCCAAAGGTAGTCTTAATCAATTGGGTTATGATTAGATTATATTGATTTTTAAAAATTATATCTATGAAAAATAATATAATCAAGAGTAAATTTTTTTATTTGATTTTTAAATA